GCTGCCTACTTGCTGGGGATAATACCAAATACAATGCATATTGTCATGAATAATTAACTAAACTAGCTTTACAAGAAAATGATTTTTTTAATATAATTCAAAAGTGTAGTTTGCAGAGGCGCTTTGCAGTAAAACATTGTAACACCTCACTCCCATCCTAAGCAGACCGCAAGTAATTATAATCTATAAAGGAATATTGTTTTAATATGGAAATGGAATCCTCGTCATAGTTCACTCAATGCAGCCTGTCATATAATTTTATGGCAAAATTCCTGAGGGAGAAGCCGAGGCTTTCTCTCTGCTAGCAGCCTGGTTTCAGTTGAGTGGGAGCAGTGAGTCTGATGTGTTTGTCTGTTAAATCTGATAACAGTATTTTATCAGTTAGCACTAACTACTGATGTATCTGCACACTCTTAATTAAAGAGACTACCATGGACAGATAAGCCAGAATGATGGGAATGTTTCATTGATAAGTACATCTGTCTAAATAAGGAGCCGATTGCGATTTTAACAGGAAAGATAATTAGTAGTTTTTGGCCAACGTTATGTATCTATAGATTAATAACCTCATCACGCCCAACAGTTCTCAGTCCTGCAATCACGCACTTTGAATCAGGGTAACATTGTGGAAGCGTATAGACTCCTTGCAGCCTATTTCAGGCAGAGATACTAAGATATTTGTTCTCCAGTACTTTGTCTGATCAAAGTGCCGATGTGTAGAGCACAGACTCGCGTCTTTGCTCTAAGCTGTGTGGGTTTGAGCCCCTGCGCTGCCACTTTGCACTAGTATAGTGTTGTGATTCAGTGATAAGGTCATCAGGCTGCCAGTCAGGGCTGAGAGCCATGTCTGTGTTCTGTATCGGCTTCCTGTAGCCCTCTAGATGTCTGACAGGATCCAGAGCCCGGACGGCAGTGTGGCACCATCCTTCACTTGGCAAGCTTGCCATATGCACATTTCATCATGTGAAATAGAGACGAGGCCAAGAGTCTCCGAGCCGGCGAGTGACGGAAAGCCCCTGTCACATGAATTAACTCCTGTATGTATGATGGAGCGCTGGCCGTGGCTGAGGGCACTTTACAAACCCCACCTCCCCCCTCCTTCGCCTTACTATTATCCTCCTTCAGGCTTATTGCATGGAGCCCATTCATCTGTTCAGTGTTGAAACATGGCAGAGAGCAATGATATCTGATGGCACCTCCGAGCATCCACCAAGTATACAAGGACCCTACTCGGCAAAGAGAGAGAGTGGAGGGTGGGCTGAGTGGTGAGTGGTGAGTAGTGGGTGGGGGACGGTGGGCAGCATGGCTAAAGCCTTGAAATTGAATGTGCATAGCAGGTCTTTGTGGTGGTCATTGTGTTCTATGACTTCGAAGACTAGGTAATTATTTAATGTGGAAATACACCAATCTTAACAATGTAAATAGAAAAGTGAAGCAGCCAATGGGATAGAAAACCAATCCACCATGCCATTCATTGAGATGCAGATTTGATGTAGGTCCTGTAATATTATTGATAGGGAAAAATACATAAACAACAGTTTTATCCTAGAGGTTGCAATGTTGAGGCGGTAGGACTGGAAGAAAAGCTCGTGAAGCGTTAAATGAAAATGGTTCATCGTCTGGGGACCTTGAAGGTGTCATTTCATGCCAATCAGATCTTTTAATTCAATTTACTACTTGGGTTAAAATGAGAAACTGCAACTAATTGAGTTGCTCCGTAAATGTCAAGGATTCTCCAGTCAGTATTTCTTATATTTGAACAGTGTAGTATATTTTGCTTTTTTCCTTACATTTCTTGTCATATAATGACTTTCAGGAAGAATATTATTCTCTTTCTTATCGTTTCAGCACTGCAATTAGCATTTAAGAGAAAAGTAGGCCTATTCGAAAGATAATTGGAGCAAAATAACTTTCTTTCTGGAGTAGAAAGTAAAATGCACATGAGGGGGAAGCAGGTCAAAAAAATAAAATTTTGATTTGAAATATGCCCAGAATAGATACATAGCTTTGCAATTTGCCCAGGCAATCTGTGATATATATGAATTATTCAATCTGCGACAACATTGTATCTGTCACTCTCTACTGCAAGAACAAAAAACAATAAAAAAGGAATATTTTAATAAATAGTGCAACTGAGATTTATAGAGAAAGTCTAGCTTTACCTGTCATGACTTGACTATATTGTTACTTTCAGATGTTAGTTAAATGGCCATTTCCGTGCCATACCTCCCCTTGCCGTCCACTAATCTTGCACTCCCACTGTTAACTATAATGTTCTAGAGACCAAGGAAACTCAGCCTTAATACTGACCAAAGTGTTGGCCAAGGGAAAATGTGTCATAACGGTGTCACTGAAGTAAAGGCCACTAGATTACAGAAATGGGATCCATTATCTCCATTTTCCAATTTGCGGCAGTGACCAGAAGATATTTTGACCCTACAGTATGATGTAGTGAAAAGAAAGGTCCCGTGGGAACCATTATTAACAAAACTACACTCATCATCTAGATAGAATATTTCCAAGATGTCCTCTGCTCCAAAAAAGAGTATCTGGAACATCTCATCAGTCATTTGTGTTGATCAGCAACCCTTTTTAACCTTTTCCATTATTACCGTAATATCATGGTACAGACTACAGAGCAGTTAGCGTCTGACTCGATGAACCTTGACGGTGTAGGGAAGCGTCTGGAAGCAGCAGCGTAAAGGAGTGATGATTGGTGAATTCCGGGGGATTGACCTAACACGAACTGCAGCACACGTTCTTCTCTAATCTCCCTTTGCCGAGCTGCTCTTATTTCAGTGTCAGCCTGAATGGCTTTCACTGGCAGCTTTCCATTCAAGAAAAGAAGCAAGAAACTTCGTGACTTTTTCAGATCACCACAAAGGATCTTTCCCTGAACTTTGCTATTCAGGCAGATAAGTTGATATGGTTATCTGACTTCAAGTGCATTTATATTGCACTTTATTATGAAATGTGCTCAGTTGAAGCCGAGTCAGATGTAATATTCTCAATCATTAACATTGTTCAGCAGCTTATTGATTGTTTTTTATGTTCTTATTTGAGGCTGCAACAAACCTCCCTTTGATTCTAACTGACAAAGGTGCTATGGAAAATGTGTCTTACACCCACATACTGTACTGTATATTGAAGTAGTTCTTCCAAATGAGTTGTTGAAAGCAGCAAACACCCTTGAGCAATTTACTGCGTTTTTGTGTTTATTAAAAAAAAAAAAAAAACTATTAAAAGTTAATAATTCCCTCAAACGCACCGGGATGGCCTCACTAAAAGACAATTAAATATGTTCCCTCTGGTTTCCAAATGATTTACCCAAACAAAACTGCTGCCTCAACATTAAGCGCTCAATGAGACTGTCAGCATACAAAAGGCCACACAGAGGGTGCATTTTTTAAATCATGACATTAAAACATCATTGTTACAGCTCTTTTGTTCGCCCATGGCTGCTGGGAAGGGTTCAATGTTATTCATTAACAACAATCATGGCAGCCATCAAAGAGCTACAGCTGCGGTTCTGAGAACGAAGCTCATCTCTTCCCTTTGACAATAGCTCGACACAGGTGTGCTGTATGCTAACATTCTAAACCGCTCGTGCTGCTAGACATTCATTCACCTTTTAGTGTTGCAAATACTTGATTTCATCCAAACTCACTCAATTTGTATGATGTTATTAAAATTGGAAATCTTTTCATTGATGTTCATCTCATATGAAGTAAAAAGGGATTACCTTCTTAACTTGCCTGACATGGAAAAGTTGCGATGATGAAGAGCATTTATTTATTAATGATTTCCCCTTCCAAGTAGTCCATTTGCAGTGAAAAACACCCTTGTGGATTCTAAGTTTCCCCAGTTTGTGTAATTAATTTAGGGATCACATTCTGACAAACTTGAAAGTAAAAAAAAACTTGCTTAGCCGCAGCTCCCCGGCCATGGAGTCATCCATCAATTTGTAATGCCTGGAGAACTCTGAAGCAATTCTCTGTGCTTGAAAGAAAGTGTAAGAATAGCACACACACACACACACACACACACGCACGCACGCACGCACACACACACACACACACACACACACACACACGCACACACACACACACACATGCACGCACACAGCACACACAGCACTGAGATTTCTGAGCAAGGTAATCATGGCTTTAAGACATTCTCTCCATTTGTCGTTCAGTAGAGCTTAACTTGGCTTGAAAATGGGTCTGTTGAAGGACCACAGTGCCCAGCAGCTACTGCCATGTCGACTGAACGCACATTATTTCAGCCAGTGGTCCATGTTGCATTAACTAGTTCAACAGTCAAATCAGAAAATGTATCTTTTAATATTTGAAATATAATTGTGTAGCCTCTGGGACGAATGTATAACATATAGTAGATGATCTCAAACACTATTTCAGGGTATTAACTGTATTGTATTGGGTTTAACTAAATACAAAATCATTCCAACTAAGGTATGTTTCTACAATGCTGTTGTTTTTCTGTTGAACAGTTGTTGAACAGAAAATATATATCATAATGTCAGGGTCTAAATTCTATAAAATGTGACTACATCCATGCCAATAAATAAAAAAACAGTCAGTATGTTTTTACTTCCCTTTCATATTCATATCTTAGAGCTTTAGACTTGTACTGTAGGCTTGTTAACTCTGCAGTTATGATTCACAAAATAGAAAATGTGCTTTTAACAGATTCTTGGAAGGATCTTTGTTTTCCACAGCATCACTGCAAGTCACTTTATAGTGCAGGCAGGCATACTGTATTTAAACTGAATGATCACTCCAACCTGCTGCTTTAAAAGCTTTGAAACCAGTTTCTCATATTTATATTTGAAAATGTAAATAAGCGTATTAAACTGGTCAGTGCTTTAAAACCGGGCTTTGTGTCACACTGCCTTTTTAAACCTTTAGAAGACCAGTTGCTCCTCTAATATGTTCATTACAGTCTCATCATACTTTGTTCCTGGCTGTTGTGTTTGGCAGGCCAGTTGGCGGTGGGAACCTGTGAGATCGTGATGCTCAACAGAGACAGCAGCGTTCCCAGACGGACCATCGCCAGGCAGACGGCCCGCTGCGCCTGCCGGAGAGGCCAGATCGCCGGGACCACCAGGGCCAGGCCAGCGTGTGTGGAAGGTGAGTTCAAATACCTTTCTAGCCTAGGGGAAAGGAAATTGTTTTAACAGATTTTAGTTGTAAAGTCAAAACAAGATGCCCAATGGCATAAATCAAACCGGGTAGAGAGGATTACTTTAACAAAGCATCCTGTTGCAATTCTTAATTACCTGTAAAAAGAAGAAGTAACCTATTCCAAATAATTTAACAGAACCATGTAACCATAGCAAAGAAGAAACCAAGATATTACGTTTTAAAATAGTGTCCCCTGTGTCCTCCTTTTACAAGAAACCAAATATGCTCTTCTTTTATAAAAGCCACTGAAATGTAAAAAAAGAGAAGAAATCTCGAGCCAAAACAAGCCTATGGATTCCAGATTACATTTTAAAATAGGTTAACTAATGTATTGTATCGTTTCACTAAGGTTGTTTGAGTCAAAGAAATACAACAAAAGTATACACAGTTTTTTTTTCAACAAATCCATTGTTCAGCTATTGCATTTAAAAATATGTGTAAGCAATGATGAAATGTTCCTCAGCTGGTCCTTGGGAACCATAGCAACAGTCACATTTTCTCTTTAATTTAATTTATTGGAAGCTTTACCATTTATTGAAATACAACCATTATTATTTCCACAATAGACTCACCATGATTTATCATTCTGGCAGTGGGTCAGCCCCCTCTAATGTTAGTTTATATGGGGTCCACTGTATGAATCCCTACCTCAGATCACTTTATTACTTGCACAGCAGTTGTGATTAAACTATATTTACTATGTGCATCTATTTAGCTGTAAGCCTATTTTTCCTTTAATGTGCACCATTGGATAACTGCTTTTGAAGCAATGGTGAATATGAAGTTGATGATGTACTGTGAAGTCAAGTTATTAATATTTAGTCAAGACTAGTTTAGCACATAGGCCCCTGTAAAATGGTAAATGGTATTTCTTAAACTCAAACAGACCTTAATAAGAGCTTCAGATGCTCATGGGCAAATTGGGCATTAGACGGAGCTACATTAGCTGTTGTTGCTTATGTCTTGTCTTTATGCTAAGCTTAGGTAATCAGCTGCTTACAGTCGCTTCATATCAAACCAACAGAAATTAGTGTGGTAATGGGAAGCTCTTTAACATATAACATATAAACACATAACCAACTCAAACAAAATCCAATCCCAGTTGGAGACACTTTTTGTTAATCCTCTTTATAATGTATTACATGAAATAACATTAAAGAGCTTACGAAATGAAGGACAACACTGTTCTTATTAGGATAATATATACTATTATTAATGGGAAATCATTTGTCATTAATGACAAAATGCCCGCTGTATTTATAAATCGTTATTTATTACAACTTTCCATGCTCGCTTCCGATGTTACACGACCGCTCCGGACCAAACAGCTTTCGCCGGTTAGTGACGTCACGCACGTCACGAGTAGAACACTTTTTGAATAATACACTAACTATATGGCTGATGTCGGACTCTGGCTCGGACATTTCGACAGCATCGAGTGACAGTGAGTCGTCAATAGACTCGGTGCACTTTCAAGAAGAGGAGGATTTTATTGAAGAGGATGCCGGTGTGGTGGAATCAGATCATGCGGGCGAGTCTAACGTGGTGGAAACATACCAGTTTGAGCCACAGTATTCAAGTAGCGGTCGAGATACAGACGGGAGCGAAAATGGGGACGACGATCCTGGATTTGGCGGAGATCCGGTGCGGCAACAGAACACAGACTGGTATACATTTGACTTTAATTCATAGAGATTCTCAATAAATAGTAAATAAATAATAATAAATAGCAGGCACACTTGGCTCAGGCGACAGAACACAGACTGGTATACATTTGATTATAATTCATACAGATGTTCATAAATAGTAAATAAATAATAATACATAGCAGGCACACTTGGCTCAGGCAACAGAACACAGACTGGTATACATTTGATTATAATTCATAGAGATGTTCATATATAGTAAATAAATAATAATACATAGCAGCTATATAAGTACAGTCCATTTACCATTTACTGGTATACATTTGA